AAAAAAAAAAAAAATTAAAAGCCGTACCACAAGCGGCCGGGCGCTGCGCGGCGCTGCGCAGAGATGCGCCGGGATGCGCGGGGGCGGGGTGTCCATCTTGCCCCCTCCTTCCCCCCCCAACACTGCTGGGGTACAAAACTCGCCCCACGGCAAGGAGTGCCCTCAGGCAGCGCACCCAGAGAAGGAAGGGGTCCCCCGACACCAGGGGCACCCCCTGGAGCAGCACCAAGAAGCCCAGAGGCAGGTGGATGGGCACCGCGCAGCATCGGCACCCTGCCCACCCCACCGGGCACGGCACCGGCCTGGCACACACACACACACACACACACACGTGTGGTCCTGCCCAGATTATTGCTAAAAGCAGCTTTTTCTCGGCGACGCTGAGACCTCTAGCGTCGTCGCATCGGGCATGAGCTCTGCCACGGGGCGATGGGCAGGAGCCAGCAGAGACATCAGAGAAAAATTATAGTCCAGGCTTAACGGGGGGGATGTTTATAAGGAAAATCTCTGGGCTTCAGTGTCAGAATGGGTAAGGTGCTAAAAAAAGTGCAATTCTTTCGGGACGCCCAAGTTAGGGGACTAAATCAGAGGCCTCGCTGCCGGCAGGTACAGGCACTCCTGTGCCTCGAGGGCAGCTCCGAGCCTGATCATCAAATTAGGTACCCAAAAATAAAAATGCAAGCAGCTAAATAACATTTACTTAAAAATAGATACAATCGTGTGCACGTAACTGTTTAGCAATGCACTGTGTCCTTTAACAAATTCCTTAAAATTCCACTTTTGAAGCTGATTTTCCACCGTTTATGAGCAGAATTTGTAAGGTTATGAGCAGAATTTGTAAGGCTATGAGGCTTTCCCCGGGTCTGGGCTGAGCTTGTGCCTCCCAGCTCAAAGGGGATGTGGCGGAGGTGGGAGTTCAGAGGTGTTGGAAGGTGTAAATTTGGAGAACAAGCTGGGGTGTTTGGGCAATGCTACCCTCTGCTGGGCAGAGCCACTCGGCTTAGTCTGTGCCAGCTCCTGCATCCCTCTAATTCGGTGCTTTGGTGGCCGTCCCACCCCATGGGCAGCCCAAACAGCCTGGGATTTCCTACCATGGGTGCCTACCTGCTCTCACGGTGTGCTTTTTGAACGGCTTTCCTTCCACCCGTGGCTTATTCCCATCATCTCGCTACCATCAGGATTTCCTTCATCACATGATCCTTGTGACCTGCTCCGTGTTGGTGTCACCAGGAGTCCCCAGCCAGGCTCTCCATGCCACTGCACGCCTGGGAAATGAAAGATATGAGTGACCTAAAGAGACACAGTTGACAGCCAGATCCAAGTTTCCCTTCATCCCACCCCCCCCCATGATATTTTCTCTCCTTTTCACACGTAAATCAGTCGGTATCAGAAATGCCACGCAGTGATTTGGGTTTGCTGAATGGGGCTACTGAACGTAACCTCCTGTCTTCGGGAGAAGATGGAGAGTGTTTGAGGCCAGAAAGGGCAAGTGTGATGGTCTGCCCTGACCTCTACCATGACCGAGGCCGAAGAGCTTCATCCATCCAGACGACAAGCGCCGTAACTTATCTTGGAGCTGCGGCCTACCAAAACCATCCACCACTATTATTTATGAAGTCACATTGGTCCCTACAGCATCACATTAAAATCTCATGGCGCAGACAGTATCACCCACTTTTCCATTCCCGCTTCCAGCGGGCAAAAATTTTACTTAAAATTGCTCAAATCCTTGCCAATGCTGCAATTTCTCAGCATCAAAATTGCATAAGGTAAAGGGACGTGTCAGCTTGTAAATCTCCGTTCTCTTTTCCTTATTTAACCTGCACCTTTAGCATCACGTAGATGTGATTTTTATTATCTTTTTTTTCTTGTGATAGAATAACTCGCATTTGAAGTAAGTGGTAATATAGACATCTCTGGAGCTATTACGGGTTTAATGAGAAATGTACGAGATGCTCCCGTTAGGCAGGGACCACTGGCACAATAGACCATAACAGCCCCTTCAGAGTCATTACAGTCTGTCATGTCAGGCTGGATTTAGGGAGTCTGTAATCTTGCTTGACTGACAAGCTCCTGCAGAGCTATTGTAGCTATTGGAAGAGGAGGTATTTTTAAAAAAAAATGAAAATCTTACATGAAAAGTTCTGGAGTGGCTGCGTACAGCAGGGCATGCTGCAGCTACGAGGCTCCGTACGGCTGGATTCAATGTTTAATTACATACAGCCAGATTACCAGAGCATTAATAGGGGGGTAAAATGGAGCGTGCAGAAATGCCAGAATTAAAACTGCCAATGAAACATCAACTCTGGAGTGGCTGCGTATGGCAGGGCATGCTGCAGCTACGAGGCTCCGTACGGCTGGATTCAATGTTTAATTACCTACAGCCAGATTACCAGAGCATTAATAGGGGGGTAAAATGGAGCGTGCAGAAATGCCAGAATTAAAACTGCCAATGAAACATCAAATCGAGTCTTTTTTATGGCTGCACGGTGGCAATCCCTCCTTACCTGGGCACGCTCTGCAGCTCTGCCAGGGGTTCATACCAGAAAGTGGCTAATGAGCCGACGTGGCTGATGTGCATTTGAAATGGCTACACGTGCACCCCGTCGCTCCACGCCACAAAAACCCAAACCCTTGTATTGGCGATGTACAAATTCCGAATTATTTTATAAAGCCTCCTACAGAAATTTGGAGGAACACGTGCACCCCGTCTCTGCACGCCACAAAAACCCAAACCCTTATATTGGCGAAGTACAAATTCCAAATTTTTTATAAAGCCTCCTACAGAAATTTGGAGGAGAAGTGAAAAATCAACTTCTAGGTGAGATATTTTATTTCAGAATGCAGTGGTCTAATTTTTGGAGTACTATTTAAAACTGCATTTTTACCACTTTACTCCTTGCAGATGATGTTGGGGTTGCATACAAACAGGACGGTGGCGCTCGGCCACACTCACTGCTGGCCCTAACTATGGGCACTGCACAAACCACATTACAATGAGCATAATTAAAGGTCTCATGTCTGCTTTCCAAGCTCTTCCACTTCAAACCTGGTTTTCTTCTGCTTAAATACTATAATATTGGATCTCTTTCTCAACATTACAGAATCACAGAATGATATGGGCTAAAGGAGTCACGTCTGCTTTCCAAGCTCTTCCACTTGCAACCTGGTTTTCTTCTGCTTAAGTACTATAATATTGGATCTCTTTCCCAACATTACAGAATCACAGAATGATATGGGGTTGGAAGGGACCTCTGGAGATCATCTAGTCCAACCCCCCTGCCAAAGCAGGTCCACCCAGAGCAGGTTGCACAGGAACATCTCCAGGCGGGTTTTGAATGTCTGCAGAGACAGAGACTCCACCACCTCCCTGGGCAGCCTGTTCCAGGGCTCTGCCACCCTCAAAGGA